TTTGGTCGGGTGAAATGCTGTTGACTTTCACACTATTTCCATTCCAGACAAACTGCATCTTTTTTTAAAATACATTTAAACCCTACCACACGTTAACATCTGAATCTAGTCAATCATTTTGCCAAATATTTACATCTCTATTGCATCTGGAATTTGCACTAATTTAGCTACGCTCACACTCTTAGGAGGCCAGCCAATCAAGTCTATGAAGAATCATTACCGTATTGCACACTGGAACACTGAGAAGCGTGAGTTGGAGAGGCCATCACTGATCAGTGACTTCTTTATAGAAATAAAAAGCTATCCTGATAACACAGGATCAGGAAAGCATCATTCAATGTAGCACTAAGCCAATTTAGACCAGGCGTACGCAGCTTTAGTCTCAGCCTGTGTTTAGAAAGCTTTCTTATTGCTGACGTGTTGGAGATTGCATTTGGCTCGAGTTCCCCGAGCAAAAGAGAAGAGAAAAAAAATTCAGAGTTCCTGTTTGGGAATGGCAACCCTTGCTGGAAAGAATGGGTGTTGACAGGATCAGGCGCCACTCTGATCTTCTCAACAGTCAAATAGCCTGCCAACACTTATGGTCTCACGCAAAGAGTGGAGATTTTAATAAGGTGCTGCCCCCACCTCCACAAAATCAGACCCCAGCATAAATCAGTGCCCTTCAGATAGCTCGGCTGCGGATCCCTGACTGTCCAGCGCCTTGGGACGTCCTCCTGACATGAAAGGCGCTGCACAAATGTAATTTGTTGTTGTTGAACGTAAAGAAATCAAAAAAATAAAGTTGGGAGCATCATCCTCCATGTTAATAACGTTTTGTTTATTTTTCTCATCTTCTTGAACTAACGCGGCGAAGGTCTCACAGCATTCCCAGCTTAGAGGGACAAAGATTGCCAGTTTCAACTCTCTGCCACTAACAATTACCCTGAGCCGCAGCACCTGGTATCTTCACTCCGATTTCTACTGTGCCATGGTTAAGTTCAAGGAGCTGATGAGTCAGAAGACAAATTGGCCAAATGAAAACCATCAATCCATGACAAAGTGTTCAAAACAAACGGATGCCCCAGAGAATACACAAATTGTCCTCTCACCTGAAGGGCTAACATTCAAATCCAGCCTACACTCGTCGAGATCTCCTCTGTACTGAGTCACCTCAGGCGCTGAGAGCATCACCATCCGTGGTTGCACACTCCACCTCGCTGAGCCAGTCCGGAACCTTGGGGTCTTGTTTTGACTCTCAACTATCCTTTCTACCCCACACCTGCACCGTGACCCGCTCTGTCTTCCCCCACCTCCGCAATGTCGCCCGGCTCCACCACTGTCTCACACCGCAGGCCACCGAAACCCTCATACGTGCTATCATTACATCGAGGCTCGACTATGCAAACTCCATGCTTGTCGGCCTTCCCAACTCCTGACTCCACAAACTGCAGATCATCCAGAATTCTGCAGCCCGTGTCCTCTCCCGCACCAGGCTCCATGACCCTAATAGGCCCCATCCTCGCCCGACTCCACTGGCTTCCCATCACACAGAGGATACATTCCAGATCCTGGTCCTCACCTTCAAAACCCTCCACGATCTTGCTCCCCACTACCTCTGCGACCTCCTGACACCCCAGCATCCTGTTCGCTCCCTCCGCTCAGCGGGCTCCGGCCTGCTTCACGTTCCCCATCTTACTCGCCCCACTATCAGTGGGTGGGCCTTCTGCCACTCTGCCCCCACCCTCTGGAACTCCATCTCACTGTCACTCTGTCTCGCCCCCTCCCTTGCCATCTTTAAGACCCATCTCAAGATCCTCCTCTTCGACCGTGCTTTCGATCTCCCTGTTTCCCCCCCCTACCTTCCAACCTCCCCCATCCCTACCCCATAACTCTGTCTGTCCAGCGCCTTGGGACGTCCTCCCGACATGAAAGACGCTTTACAAATGTAATTTTGTTGTTGTTGTTACATCCTCTAAGAATTAAAAGGCACCTCTGTGTCCATGTGTAGAAGGGGCTTGGGATTAGCTCTTGATTTCTCTCTAGGAACCCCTCTTAGAATGAGAACATTGGTAGGTATCAGAGGAACTTGGCTATTATCATCTCATGGCTAAATAGCCAGTGAATACTGTTTAGGCTCCTACATGAATTGCTTGGGTGAGGAACACGAACATGCGAAACCAGGTCCCCAAATGATGTACTAACTCTGGGAGAGAAGAGATACGAAACAGAGACCTTAAGTTGTTAAGAGACGTTTTAAACATTCCTTAAAGTTTTGTTACTCCACACACCTCTGTTTACCTAGCAGTAAGTAGAAACCCAGTTGTTAATGGATTGGAGGATCGCTTTCCAGGGGATCATTTTCCCCTAAAAAATGTGGTCATTCAATCCACAACTGTCTGTGGGACACTGCTATCCTTAATTGGCTGCCGTGTTCGCCCACATAATATAGAGTCAATCCACTTTATAATATGTTCTCAACCTTTTCTTATTCTGGTTGTGGATTCAAGCCCCACATTGGACCCTTGAGGCTTTAGTCTAAACTGACACTGAATTGTCAGAGATGCCATCTTTCGGATATGGCTTTAAACGAAACCGAGTTCTCTGACAAATACTCAATAAAGACCATAACAGGTCAGGTTTCCCCGCCCACTCTTCTGTGACCATTACCACATCATTTGGGTCCCAGACACACCTTTTCTCTCTCTCTTCTGCCTGTTTTGTTGCAACACCACCCCCACCCCCCCCCACCCCACTTTGTTTTGCATCACTTACACCGCTTCAACCCATCATCCCCTGTCCTCTACCCCATTTTCTCCTTTGCCTTCCTTGCCCTGCCTCCCCCCTCTCTGTCAGCTCTTAAAAGCCTCTCCATCCCAACATGCCCCAGCTGTGACGAAGGGTCGTGGACCCGAAACGTTGACTGACTTTCCTTTCTCCATAGATGCTGCCTGACCTGCTGAGCGTTCCCAGCCACTTCTGTTTTTGGTTTCAAACGCTCAATAAACGTTGCAGAAAACTCTGAAGCTCTTTTTGAGACATTTCGACTTGACATGTACCATATCGAACACACGGACTATTATTTTTATCTTCAATACATGTGCTTCGAAGTTGACATTTTCCAAGTTCAATTTGTGGTATAGATTGGAGCGCAGGAGCTGAATTCACACAGACCCTGGGTTAATAACTGGCGCAATGAATATTAATTCCACTCTCACTCACACAATTGACCCCAGTAATTTTTTTTCAAGCCAGTTCCTTCCAACTGCATCGCAGCACTTCTTGTTCAAACAAAATAATGACCACACCCAGGAATTTAATATATCACAGTATCCCAGATATATCACCGACTAAATATACAGTCAATTCACTGTACAGAATATTCTATGAAATGCTTTTGAGTCACTTCAACGCTGTGCTAGGGCGCTATACCAAATGGAAGGATTATTACTACAACAATACATACTAGGATGTCTAAAAGAAATCCTGATCACAATTGCTGCCTTCGCATTTGTTATAGTATTCTCAACGATTGTGTACTTAAACGTCAGCAAATATAATTACGATCCAAATCAGCTCATAATCCTGCAAGTCCTCTGGTTACTTAATAACTTTTAATTATACACTGACATTTATTAGTAAATAGAATTCAACACTACATCCTGTTCACGTAGAAACGGTGTAATCTGGACAACAGAACCTATTGCTCCCTTTATTTACCAACATCCAGTGTCATCTTATATATTGCAGCAGTTTTTCCCAAGTAATACGCTCAATTTCAACTTAAACTTCCCGCAACCATTTGAACAGACGTCTCATACCAGACCCACTTGTTCCAAAGGAATTGCTCTCAACTTATATGACCGGTTGGATTTAAAAAGGCTACTAACTTACTTAACCGCTGGAGTGTAAGAATCAAACCAAAACGCATCTCTCTCTCTCTCGCTAACCCCGATCTGTGTCTACTCAAACCTTTCCTTTGCAATTGCAATTCTCCCTGATAACAGGTCAGACAAACAACAGGGTTTAGCAACAAGAATTGCCAGCGTTGTAATAAAGCGAATTCAGTCACTTCTGAAGCGACTGTGGGGCGTGCGGTTAGCGGTGGGTTAATCTCCTCCACTGAAAGTGGGGGAAATCCTTCTTCCTTCCGAACAGGAGGAGGAAGACTTCCGCTCTCGAGATCTGAAATGAGCTTCAGTTCACTTTTGAGTTACATTAAGTTAAAACAGATGCACTTTTATGACTGTTTGCAATTCTGGTTGGTGACCTGTTGTTTGGGACTCCTGTTCCATGGTGGTCGGATGGTGATGATGATGATGGGTGGAATTTGTGCCATTTTTTGAGCGGAGAGTAAGTGACAGAATGAGTGAGCGAATGACTGAGTGAGTGACAGAGTGAGTGATAGAGTGAGTGAGTGACAGAGAGAGGGAGTGAGTGACAGAGTGAGTGAGGGACAGAGTGAGTGACAGTGAGTGAGTGAGGGAGTGACAGAGGGAGGGAGGGAGTGAGGGAGTGAGTGACAGAGGGAGTGAGGGACAGAGGGAGGGAGTGACAGAGGGAGTGACAGAAGAACAGAGGGAATGAGGGACAGAGGGAGTGAGGGACTGAGTTGCTGTCACCACATGAAGGAAGGACAGACGGAGCAGGTGGTACAGTGTTGATCGTCCGTCCAGAGCGGTTAACAGGACAGAGACAGAGACGGGCAGTGCGCGGTTGACTGGGATAACAGCGCTCGGACGGAGCAAGAGAGAGACAGAGCGAGCACCCGGCCCGCGGGCCACGGCCACGAACCGCGGGCCACAAACCGCAACCACAAGCCAGAGGAGCGGTTAACAGGACAGACAGACAGACTGGCGGTTGTGCGGGTTGTCCCGGTCCGAGCGAGAGAGTGAGTGAGTGAACCCGGCCCGCGGGCCACAACGACCGGCCCGCGGGCCACAACCACAAGCCTCCCCGGCCTCACAGCCGCCACTCGAGCCCCCCCGGGGGGGGGTGGGGTGGGGGGTGGGGTCACTGACCTGTCGAGCTCCGGAGTAAAGCCAAGGCCCCGAGGAGGGTCCCCAACATCATCATCATCATCACCATCACCGTCGCCGCCGCTGCGGCCGCATCGCTCCGACGTGAGGCAGAGAATGGCCGCCGCCGCCGCCTCCTCACTGACAACCGGAGTCACGGCCCTCCCGCCGGCAGCGTCGCCACGCAACCACGCACGGGAACACGCAGCGCGTACGGCGTGACGTGACGGCGCGCGGGCGGGCAGGCACGCACGCACGCACGCACGCAGGGCAGTGAAGGGCAGGCACAGCACCTGTCCGTCAGTCACCGGCAGCGCCTCGCGCACTGCCACCAGGCGGCGGACACGTGCAAGTACACGCACCCACCCACCCACTCGCTCGCACACACGCACGCACACAGCCGCCAGGGGGCGCCACCACTACCACCCACACCAACGCACCTCTGCAACCCCACAACCGCAACAACTTGCATTTATACAGCACCACCCCTCTCCCCCCCCTCTCCCCCCTCCCATCCCACACGCCCTTCGCGCGGGGCGGTGTCCCCGGAACCCTACACAGTGTCGGAACCTGACCCCGAGCCATGGGTGGGGGGGGGGGAATGGGGGGAATGGGGGGGGAAGATGACCGCAATCACGATCCAAAAAGGAAGGTCTTTACGCGGGATTTGAACGTGGGGGGGGAGGGAGGGAGAGAGGGAGGGAACGGGGCGGTGGGATTGGGGGAGAAGAGAGGTCCAGAGTTTCGGGGCGTAGTGACTGAGCGGGGCGGGGGGGGGGTGGGAGTTTACGGGATTGGGCAGGGCGGGGCCGGTCGGAGAGGTGGGCTTTAGGGCAGGACTTGAAGACGGGTAAGAGGGGGTGGGGTGGGGTGGGGGCCAAGGCCCAGTGGGTAGAGACGAGAGCTCCAGAGGTCAGCGGCAGAGAATAGTGGCGTGTGATGGGCAGGTCCGTCGCCCCAAGTCCTATCCTTTGGCTCTGCGTACGCGGAGCACGTTCCCGTCCCATCCTCGAAGCGTCTTGGCGGCAACGATAAGGCACTGAATCCCCCACCCCCCACCCCCCCCCACCCCACCCCTCCGCCAGTGGCTGTGCTTTCAGCCTCGAAGCCCCAAACCTCGGGAACAACCCATTGTTAAGCGCTCCGAGACCCGACCCCACGCGAAGGGCGCAATGTAGGCACGAGCTGTCGTTGTGTATCAAACGGCAAGGAACCACTTATTTATTACGTACAGTCGGCCGCCGTCGCCAGAGATAAACACGCCCAGCCTCCGCCGGAAATCGGGAAGTTAAATCCCGCCGGGAATGGGTCGGATCGGGTGGCGGAGGTTCAGAATCTGTTTGTGCTGGACACATCCTGAAAGTTCCCACGAGACGCGCGTCAAAATATTGCGGTTCATATTTTAGGTTCTCCTCGCCGTTCCGTAAAATAGGTTCAACGGAACCGAAGGCCAACGGTTCCTGTGGACTAACGGGAGCGGAGCCGTCCGTCTTCAACGTCTGCAAAGCGTGATGAACGCGATATATATATATATATATAATTAAAAAAAAAGTTCTTTCTTCCTTTCACTTAAACGGGTGAAGCTGAGGCGAGACCGGCCACTCATCGAGCCACCTGACATACACCAGCTTCCTGGACGCTTACATGTACTTCAGTACGCGCGCAGTACGCAGGTCCAGAGGTCAGCCTGGCTCGGGCGGTAACGCTCTCCTGTCCGGGTCAGACGCTTGTGGGTTGAAACCTCACGGTTGGGATTCTGAGCTCATCTCTCCGCTGACACTCCAGTGCAATACCGGGGGTGGGTGGGGGGCAAACTGCACTGTCGGGAGGTGCTTGCCTTTGGGTAAGACATTTATTTTTTTACAAACCAAGTCCTGGAATGCCTTTTCAGACAGACGTTAAGTAGTTAAAAAGAGAAGGGCGTTTTTTCCCGGTGTCCTGGCCAACAATCGCACAGATGGAATTAATCGTTCACTTCATGGCTGTTTGCCGCTGTGAGGGAGATTTACACTGTCAGCAGTGGGTTACAGGAACTTAGGGTCGGTCAATCACATAACAATATCTAGTATTGGGCAAGAGGGATAAAAATTAAATCATTAATAAAAAAAATGTGCCCAGTCCCCAGTATGTGGAACCTGGTGCTGCAGCTGAAGATTAAATCGATCAGTTAGTTTCGCAAATAGCAAATTGCTCCATCTATGAGGTGACTCAGCCAACCTTCCGAGATCAGGACATTTTGGGGGGAGGCGTGGGGGGGGGGGCTCATGATAAAAGCCCAGTGACATTAAACAAACAAAATTAATGTGGAGTCCTGTAGCTCAGTGGTTAGAGCACTCGCTTTGCAAGTGAGAGACCTGAGTTCAATTCCAGGCAGAGGGCGAATCCTTGGGCAAGTTTCCTTACTCCACACAGAGCCTAATAATAATCCCTCCAAAACCAAAAACAATAATAAATTGGTCATTTTCAATCTACGACTGTTTGTGGGACATTGTTGTGCGCAATTGGCTGCCGCGTTCGCCCACAAATATACAGTCAATTCACTTTACAGTTTGTTCTGTGAAGCGCTTTGGGACGTCCTCCTGACGTGAAAAGCGCTACATCAAATGCAAGGATTATTATTATTATTATTATTATAAACCGCACATGACTAGCGGAGGAAATTCAGTGCAGCATTAGAATGATTCGTTTTTTTTATTAATCAGCTGGGGTGTCCGACCCAGGCGGAGATCCATTACGGTGCTCAAAAGTACCCAAACCACAATGAGAATATATCCATGTATTCCTCTGACGCACGGAAATTCCCCTGTGTCTGGAATGGAATGCGCACTCTCTCGCGAGAAAGACGCACCGAATGCCGGAGACTATCAGGCGCAGGTTAGCAAGAGCTAAGACTTCGGGAGCCCGGAGTGTACGTTGTGGTGACCGCCGGAGTTTAACCAGCGTAAACCATTTAGTTTGCCAACTGAGAGAACTGTCTGGCGGGCTTCCTGCCGCGTGTTCAGCTTGGACTACCCTACGGGGTAGGGCTTTGGCTTGCAGCGTTAACGGGAGCCGAGATGAAGACAAGAGTAGCTACCGTTTGAGACACGAAAGAGCAGGGCAAACCTTGGTTTGGTCCTTGGCCCGAAGTGAGTTCGCTGTTCTCAGCCAGTCCAGTATATTGTTGACGCTGCAATTGGCCTCAATGGATGGGGAGTGAAATTAACCAGGTTCCCACAGCTCATCATTGCCAAGAGACCTCTGCCCACAACACACGGATGTCACATTAGGAAAAGATTGTATTCAGCTGTGAAAATGACGGTCACTGCACCACACAGTAAAGTGCGTGAAGCTCTTTGCGACACGATAAAGGCGCTATACGAAATGCAAGGATTATTATTCTTATTTGACTTTAAGTCGCCTCTGGTTGAATTGCGTGCTGGCGCTCACTGCCCAGTGGTCTGCAAGAATCTTGTTTGTCCGGTCCACGATTTATGTCTCCATCTCCAGCCTTTGAAGAAGCCTGACGGGCGCTCAATTCAAGCTGTTAAAAAGGCGGCTGTGGGTCCCAAAATTGGTGTGTGACCCATCGGAAATGTACCTCAGCAACAAGTCATTGACATGGGAAGGAAAACAAATTGGGAGGTGGGGAAGGGGTTGGTGGGTGGGGTGGGGGGAAGAAACATAAATCTGTAAAATTCCTATTAACACAATATCTTTCTTTCAACAGCCTTTTAGCCCAATCTCGTGGTCAAATATGGTACTTCAGGTACCAGAGGACAGAGTGACACCATCCAACCAACTGCAAAGCCAAGCTCAACATTGGTGCAAATGCACCACCTGGTGGGACTTGGGCAGAAACACAGGGAATCCTTGAACGCCTCTTGTGCATCCAACACCTTGCAAAGTGCTTTGAGAGAGAAAAATAAAGTTGGTGCGTCTTTGGTGCAGAAGAAAGCATGGAAAGGGGTACCAGCCAGGCCGGCCCCTCCATCCCCTTCACGAACACCCACCCAAACGCACGATTCACCCGCGTGGGAAAGCACCACAGAGGCTAAACCTCAATCAAAACATCCAAAAATACACTGCATTTCACCTGTTCAAACCTGGTCCGGTTTCCCTGCACACCCGCACGCCCACAACAACAGCAACAACAAGCATTTATATAACGCCTTTCAATCGGGGCAGCGTGTTAACAGTGGCGGAGCCTGACCCCGAGCAGAGGGTGAGGGAACAGCTGATAAACCATTGTGGTCGAGGATTGCCTGTGTTTCTGTCTTTGGTGGCACAGTTGAGCCAACGTTGAGCCTGGCTTTGCGACTGGATGGATGATTGATGTGAAGGAATTAAAGCTGGGTTACGATCGGTGCGTCTGCAAAAGTCCTACTTCATGCGTAAGCCATGACAGTAAGCCCTCTGATGTCCACACTTGCTCGCTTCCCAGCAGGAGTCCAGGGACTCGCTCTCCTCCCCCCGGGATGGTTTTACTGCTCAGGTGTTTATTCGAGTTTGCATTCGAACCTTTCAGAAACAGCAGAGCTGGCTAACTGGAACAGGAAACCAAGCTCTGGCCATTTCTATTTGTATTCTGTACGAATTGCGAAGAGGTCAATTGCCCACGGTTTTATTTTGTTTAAATAAATACATATCAAAAAATATCTACTGACTGTCGTCCTCTTGTGGACAGAGCAGCACGGCTCAGTTTCATCCTCTGGCATTGGCCTTCACACCCGAGCGATCAGGACAGTGAATTCCCGTCCCCATTACTAGCGGTTGTAGTTTTTGTTCCTTTTACAGGTACAAAGTTAACGCCAGGTCTCTCTTTGAGTTCACCCACGCTGAAAATTTTTGACAGATGCGTCAAAATTTTTGGCCCTGGTTTTTTTTCAAGCTCATTTGCCTGCAAGTTATTTTCAGAACCGCAGAATAAAAAAAAAACAGCTTGAAATTTAAGAGCGAATCCAAATTCTGGTGACTCTAAGATGCGACAGAAACACAGTAAATCTAGATCCAGTGAAATTTCTTCCCCCAAAGGAGCACAGAGCAGATTATTCTGTATCCAGTCTGTGATGCTTCAAAATGTTTAATAATCCTTGCACTTGATGGAGCGCCTCATCGCATCTTCGAGACGTCTCAAAGCGCTTCACAGATTATACCGTTGGATGAATTGACTGCATATTTTGTGGGCGAAACACGGCGGC